CTGTGCCATTTCACAAACAAATATATATATATATATATATATATGTGTGTGTTTATGTATGGTAAAATACTTAAATTTGTGGTGATGAATCAAGGCTGCACTATGAAAATTAGCACCAGTAAATCATTTTAACATTTTTATGTCTGTTTTTATTTATTAATTTTTAATTTTAATTTTAAAGATGTATGTTGCTTAATTTTAATAAAGTAGAAACAGATTATGTGTAAGCACAGAGCAGAGGAAGTAACGTGACTGCATGGTTTCTATTTGAGACCGCAGTAGGCTATCGCAATACGGAAAAAAAATTAATTGTGCATACAATTTACTAATTTGTTCCTTCGTTTCAAGTAATTGGGTTTTATATTGAGTTGGGAATGAATTATAGAGACATTCTGTAAAGCTAAAAGGCTTTTAGCTTTGTTCTGGTGGTACATTAATGCAGACATGGCAACCCTTGAGATGAAGTGAAGCTGTTGTTTTTTTGTTTCGTTTCGTTTCTCCTATGTAGGACTGGAAACCAAGAAAGAATTGTGTAACAGTCTGTAACAGTGACATGCTGACAGGTATGAATCTATGATGTAGATAAACTGATATCTCAGCAGCAGATTATATAAATGGTCGAATACTTATATACAAGTATGTTCTGAGGTTTCAGCCCCTATATTTTGTTCACCAAATTATGCCATTCCTATAGGTGGATCATTAAGGCCATTGATTAACAGTCTAAATGTGATGATAAACACCTGAACTATGTCAGTCTTAAACAGCTTTCGTGTATTACAGCTCTACTGTTAAAGCCAATAGTCCCTCTACTGATAAAATAGTGGGACTGTTGAACATAAGTAGCTCCTACGGTAGATATACAGTATCTGCTGAATCATTGAAAACAAGTTTGTTGTTGTTTTTATCCTTCCATTACTCCTGCAATAAAAAGACCGATTCCCTGTTGGCATATTTCGTTTTTCTTTCTCTCCATCTCCCCCTGTTGTAAGAACTATTGTACTGATTTTCTGTCTAGGGATTTTGTGTGTGTGTGTGTGTGTGTGTGTGCTTGTTTATGCTACATTGTAAGGACCAAATGTCCCCACAAGGATAGTAAAACATTTTCTATCTTTGAAGCTGCTTTTAGTGTGTGCATTTAAGTTATAACTGACTTATCAAAATAGGGAAAGGATCATTTAAGCCGACCCTAATTTAATGATTTAATAATTAAAAGTTAAATGAAAAAAGAAAAAACAATATATATATTTTTTTTCTTCTTTTTTTTTCAACGTTTAAACATTTCAAAATATAACTTTAAACTACTATGTTCATTTAACTCTTCTCAACAATAGAGGGCGCACTTGTCCTAAACTTTTGCTCACGAGCTGTCATTTCCGCACACATGGTAGTTGGTAGCTATGGTTATGGTTACGGCAGGCTTCAGTTTGGAGCTCTGCTTCCGGATACTTTGGTGTCGCAGAGCAACAGCCGTGGTTGTTGTAACAGTGTGAGGTTTTTGAATGTGTATAGTAGCGAGCTTTTGATAAAGTTTCAGTCAGTTGACAGAGTTTGAGTTTTCTTTCCATGTCTTTGAAACTACATTAAATGGCCTCTTATACACACGAAGAGTTTGAACTCAGCCAGAAACATGAAGATATGTGAGTCTTTTCAGTTGTACTCATCGGTTAAAAGGCTTCTCTTAGTCCTATTTTTAATTATTCAATCCTTGTTATGAATCTAAACGGCTTAATGAATGTAATTTTTCTCATGTAGACTGGGGAAAAGAGCATTACTGCTGCAGCAGATGGAAGCGCATTATGAACAGCAGAAGGCTAAGAAAAAACAGCAGCGTCTGATGTCTCAAGCAGCGAAGGAGAGGAATGCTCAGATCCTTAAGGTTTCTCTACTGTGTGCTCTGTGTTATACACACACTGTGCTATATATTTATATGATACAATTATGTATTTCAAACTAGGTGCTTCACAGAGCTCTATTATAGTACAGTAAAAAGGTTTTTATTTTATTTATTATAGTCAAATTAACAGAATAATTTTTTATTTAATATATATATTATAATTGTATTATAATACAATTGTTTGTATTTATGACTATTTCTGTTGTAGGATTTACAGAATGCTGAAAAAAATCTTCAAACCAGACAGCTGCTTCACCCAGATATTATTAACCTTGAGGTATTAGTTACATCTCATAAAATAAAACTTGCACAGTGTTTCATTTTTGAACACATGCAATAGTAAATGTTGCATTTGAAGTACTTTTTTGCATGTGTATATGATGCCAACGGCATCTTTCCCCAAGAAACTGTGTGCCCATCAGGGCTGTCATAATGAATCGAAAAGGTACGGTTATAAAGTGAATGGAATGACGTGTGTTTTAAAAATACAGTAAGACAGCTGCTGTAGTTTAAATGCAGATGCCAGCATGAAATGTTTTACCTGCTTAAGATTTAAAGGGGTCATCGGATGCAAAATTCACTTTACATGTTGTTTGAACATAAATGTGTTGGAAGTGTGTGTACACATCCACCCTATAATGATAAAAATCCACCCAGTGTTTTTTTTTTAAATCCTTATTTTAAAATCCCCTTTCTCAAATCAGGCTGTTCTGAGATTCCTGTCAGAATGACGTAGTTCTG